GCGCCAAAAGGTGCTTTGAAATTATTTTATTGGAGAAAAAAAAGGGTTTGAGAGGCTTTAAAAAAAAAAAAAAAGAAAGGGAATCTCTTAAAAATGAATCTTGTCCCCCGGGCGCCAAACACTACACTAGCTACGCTTCTGCATAGAGGGGGAGTGAGTTATTTATTCCCCCTACCCAATTGTCAGAAAGTGACACACAATGTCACAACTTCGTAACTCGAAATCGAAAGAGGACGTTTAGAATTTTAATTTCATTTTCGGTGTTTCAGTTTCAGTTTTACGATTGGGATGCCACTGACTGCTGCTGCTGACTTATAAAATGCCGCTTCTTTACAAATGATTATTTCGATGAAAAGGTGAACACTTTGTTTTCTACCTCATCCGGTCTTAACTCTAAGAATGTTACCTTCTTCGGCCTAACCAGCAAATTACCCGGTATTCTACTTCTAAACAGAAACACACCGTAGCCTCATAATAAACAAGTATAAATAAGAATTGATATGACTAGGATATTTAACATACAGTTTAGTTTGTACACGTTAAAGTACCGGTAGTACAGCAGAGACTGAGGTAATGTGCCATTTAAAAAAAAAATAATAAAGTTAAAAGTAGTATCCCCATCACTCAGTCGAGTAGACTAGTAAGATGGTAGAGATTTCTTTTTTTTTTTTTTTTTTTTTCTTTTTTTTTTTTTTTTTTTTTTTTTTTCCTTTTTTTTTTCATATACAGCTAAACTCTGTTTCTTGATAAAGAGGAAAGAGAAGGTAAGTCATAGCGGACATCTAGAGACGATAGCTAGAGAACAGAAGGCTCGGGTTTGGAAAGAAATCAGTTAAGCCATTATTAAGCCCTATTTTTGCTAACGGCGTGGCCCATGCTGCTCCTGGGAGTTGAAAAGGCAAAGAACAAGTGAAAGCGTCCATCCGTTTATTTAACACAAAAATTGTCAGCGGGCGGCATTGGTCATTTTACCCACGTTACCCCCCCCCCCCCCCCGGTGTTTCTTTCAGGCAATCAACTTTTCAATTATGTTATAATAATATTGTATTAAATTAAAGCAAAAACTTTTTAAAAAATTTGGCACACACACAACTGTACAACAGCATTGGAAACTGTAGGGTAAAAAAAAAAAAATGAAACCTGGAAAAAGGTAAAATGTATAACTATTTCGATTTCATCTTTTTTATCTGTTTCTCAATGCATTAATAAAACACTATCAATATGAATAGTGCTTTTTGGCACTGTTAAACCCTGACATGACGAAACTTGAAATAGCACAGTCACTGTCACATACATTAAATCGAGCCCCTCCACGAATTTAAAAAAAAAATTAATTAACAATACAAGAATTCATTTTTGCGAATAACTAAATTTAGTTTTGCGCCAACCTACACAGAGAAGTGCTATGAATTTTTTTCAAGTGTTAGTATTAAAGCGATTTTAAAAAAACAACACACAATTGATTTAAGCGACTCTAAAACTATTCAACTACGGTAATTCATTTGGTTTAAACTTCTTCAGTAGTATTTTGTTTAATGGTTCTGATACGTCGAGCGTCACAAAAAGTATTTAATATAAATAGGCCTACAGTGCCCGGCCTACAGTGCCCGGATGCATCAAGTAAGTTGTGACGCTGGGTTATATAATCGCCAGGGACGGATAGCTCGAAAAGCGGTTTGTCAATACTGGCTTCTTTTTTTTTTTAAAGAAAATCATTTATACTACTTCACTTTGGTTCGTGTCTTTCTTTAATTTGTGGCAATGTTTTCGGAAGGTTAATTGAGCCACTTCCTGTCATCCTATCGAGCTGAAATGTGGCACATAGACTCGTTGCCAATGCTAAATTATCATTAAAATATTACCTTCTATATTTTGCGGGCCCACGATCAATGTATTAGTCTTATAATAGTATGTACTTAAAATTTAATTAGTTTAATTTTATTAAATAGCGGCTTCTAGTAGTGTAGGCCTATATTACTTCAGATGCCACATAGGCCTATGTTACTCCAGATGCCACATAGGCCTATACTACTCCAGATGCCACCTAGGCCTATGTTACTCCAGATGCCAAATAGGCCTATGTTACTCAAGATGCCACCTAGGCCTATGTTACTCCAGATGTCACATATGCCTATATTACTCCAGATGTCACATATGCCTATATTACTCCAGATGCCACCTAGGCCTGCACTGAGCTGGTTCTCTCAAGTCATCCCACGTCATCACAGGAGACTATCTCTCCGATTTCACCGTTTGATGACTATCCCCTAACTGAAAATTACAGCTCGTTTTTTTTTTCCCTATCAATTTCGCTCGTCTTTTCACCCGCGATTTCAATTTAACCGGTCAGAATAAAAAGACTGAATACACGGTGTGTAGAATTCATCCAATTAATGAATGATGTCAATGAAACAGCTTTCATGTTTTTGTTTTTATGTATGAATGATTTATAGTTTTCAATGAATAAACTTTGTGATGAAATTAGATCTTAGAGGTTGGGGGGGGGGGGGAAGGGGAATTACCAACTAAATTTATTTAAAAAAATTAGAACTCTTTTCAGATTTAATTTGGCGGATCAATCAATTTAGTCTGCTTGAAACACGATGTCTGAAACTGAAGGCATGAGTCCAACCGTGAAGACCTTCGTGATATTTGACACAGAGACCACTGGACTGCCGAACTCAAGTGACAGCCCGAGAATTACTGAGCTGAGTTTCATCGCTTTGTCCAGGGACGGACTGCTGGACGCGTCAAAACCGTCCCGTGTTGCCAGCAAGCTTCTTCTGTGCTTTAATCCTCAAAAGGAGATAGACCCTAAAGCTTCTTCACTGTCAGGTACGGAATGAATGAACTAATATGTGCACAATTTTTATCTTAAACGTTTAGGTCTTCAATAGGACATAGTGTGTGCTCTGTTGTCAGTGTGACAAGATGAGTCGGGCAAGGGGGGAGTCGGGACCCTGTGACTCTTGGAGCTTTCTCATGTGTCTCAGATGGAGAATTACTTGAAACAAAGTTCACTGAACTCATGTATGCATCTTTTAGAGATGTTCAAAATAAAAGTGAAATGAGGAGGAACAAAAGCTATAGACTTGCCACTTTCAGCAAGAACTGTGACAGAAAGAGCTGTGACAGAAAGAGGTGTGACAGAAAGAGCTTTGACAGAAAGCTGTGACAGAAAGAGATGTGACAGAAAGATTTGTGACAGAAAGAACTGTGAAAGAAATAGGTGTGGGGATGGACGTAAAATGACTAATCAGCATGTTGAAGACATAAAATCGGCATCACGATATTCTCTAGCATGTGATAAGTCTTGTGTTGTGGATGACATCGTGTCTTGTGTTGTGGATGACATTGTGTCTTGCGTTGTGGATGACATTGTGTCTTGCGTTGTGGATGGCATTGTGTCTTGTGGATGAAATTGTGTCTTGTGATGTGGATGACATCGTGTCTTGTGTTGTGAATGACATTGTGTCTTGTGTTGTGGATGACATCGTGTCTTGTGTTGTGGATGACATCGTATCTTGCGTTGTGGATGGCATTGTGTCTTGTGATGTGGATGACATTGTGTCTTGTGATGTGGATGACATTGTGTCTTGTGATGTGGATGACAATGTGTCTTGTGTTGTGTATGACATTGTGTCTTGTGCTGTGGATGACATTGTGTCTTGTGCTGTGGATGACATTGTGTCTTGTGCTGTGGAGGACATTGTGTCTTGTGAGTGGAGGACATTGTGTCTTGTGATGTGGATGACATTGTGTCTTGTGATGTGGATGGCATTGTGTCTTGTGATGTGTATGACATTGTGTCTTGTGCTGTGGATGACATTGTGTCTTGTGCTGTGGATGACATTGTGTCTTGTGCTGTGGATGACATTGTGTCTTGTGGAAACCATTGTGTCTTGTGATGTGGATGATATTGTGTCTTGTGATGTGGATGATATGGAGTCTTGTGATGTGGATGACATTGTGCAAGTTGGTACAAGAAGAGTTGATTGAACTAACGCCAATCAGGGGACAAACTGGGCAAGGCCACGCAGGGGACAGACTCGGCAAGGCCACGCAGGCGACAAACTGGGAAAGGCCATGCAGGGGACAAACTGGGCAAGGCCATGCAGGGGACAGACTCTGCAAGGCCACGCAAAAGACTAACTGGGAAAGGCCATGCAGGGGACAAACTGGGCAAGGCCATGCAGGGGACAGACTCGGCCAGAAGATATTGCGAATACAGTCTCCGAATGCTTGAAAAAGAAAATGCAGATTAATATAAATTACCATCAACAAACTGACATCAGTTGCTATCAACAAACTCACATCAGTTGCTATCAACAAACTCACATCAGTTGCTATCAACAAACTCACATCAGTTGCTATCAACAAACTCACATCAGCTGCTATCAACAAACTCACATCAGTTGCTATCAACAAACTCACATCAGCTGCTATCAACAAACTCACATCAGCTGCTATCAACAAACTCACATCAGTTGCTATCAACAAATTCACATCAGTTGCTATCAACAAACTCACATCAGTTGCTATCAACAAACTCACATCAGCTGCTATCAACAAAGTCACATCAGTTGGGGATTGTTCGCAAATTACTTCACGCTTTAGGGGGGGGGGCGGGGGGGCCCAGAATTTATGACGTCACTTTTTTTTAAAAATCTAAAATTTTCTTATTTTGACAAAAAATATCTTTATTTAATTAATTTTAAAAAACATTAATTTGATGTCGAAATCGCCTCAGGTATTATAGATACTATGAAACTCAATTTTCTAAAAATACTACATCTTAATCCATTATGGGAAAATTGTAAAGAATAAAATAAAATCTTAGTTTAGTTATGATAATTGTGTTTATGTTTAGAATTTGTTTAGGTGTGATGTGACACTTGTGGGGGGGGGGGGTAGGGGTAAAGAATTTTTGACACTTCATGACAGGGGGAGGGGTGTCTAAAAGGGTCATTTTTTAGCGTGACGTAATGGACCCCTTGCCATAGCTGAAGTGCTAATAATTTGTACTTTCGCTTCTCTCAACTTTTATATTCACATAGTTTTGTTCAAATAGTTTTTTTTTTCCAATATGATTTCCGTTAAGAGCAAATGAATAAGCCAACTGAATTAAATTAGTCTTTAGTTATGCGTCAAACTGAAAGCAACAGAGTCTTCACCAAATGTTAATCAACATGACATCCAACAGCAGAACTCTCATTACATTGTCTTAACCTTGTATGGGTTATTTATTGTGTTCCATTTATCTCAACACTGAAAGACTATTAGTGCACAATAAAACAATGTTTGATTATTTCTTGGCGTTTCATTTCATTATTTTAGATACCCTGTTATTTTTTATTTTTTTTATAGTTATTTTATTTACTATTTAAACAATTTCCTGTGTTTATTTTCCAGGATTAAAGAATGATGCACTGGAGGTTTACGGCACATTTGAATCTCATGCTTCATTGATCTGCTCATTCTTGACAAGGTTGCCGCAACCAGCTTGTCTTGTAGCTCACAACGGAAACCGGCAAGTGGAATTATTAGCAGAGAGTTTAGAATATATTTACTGAGATTTGTTTTAAAAGAAGTGTTATCAAATATATCAAAGCAGTGGCGTAGCTAGGGTTGGTGTCATCCCCCCCCCGCCCCACATCCCACGACTTCCACGATGTTCTTGTTAAAAGAAGTCCACAGTACAACAATGTCAAGAACAAAAACAAATTAATTGAAGGTCAGGAGATAAATGTATTGAAGAACGGTAACTTGTACTTAGCATCGTCCGACCACATATAGTATTTGGTATTAAAGGGAAGATTTATTTCTCTGAATTTATATGACTATAGCCGCCTGTCACATACGGAAAGTTACATAACACATCAATCACCGTGTCACATACGAAAGTGACATAACACTTCAATCAGCGAGTCACATACGAAAGTGACATAACACTTCCATCAGTGTGTGATCGGATATCCTTGTGTGTACTTCGGTTAGACCGTGCAGTGTGTGATCGGATATCCTTGTGTGTACTTCGGTTAGACCGTGCAGTGTGTGATCGGATATCCTTGTGTGTACTTCGGTTAGACCGTGCAGTGTGTGATCGGATATCCTTGTTTGTACTTCGGTTAGACCGTGCAGTGTGTGATCGGATATCCTTGTGTGTACTTCGGTTAGACCGTGCAGTGTGTGATCTGAAAATATGCTATTTTTCAATTTGGTGTCACACCCACCCCCCACCCCCCCTTTGAGATGGTGTCACTCGGTGCGGTGCGGTCCGCACCCCACAGCTGCGCCACTGCATTAAAGGAAATTATTTAATTTAAATGGATAAATCTTGAATGAGGTCAACTGAATGTAATACGCCATGTAAGCGGTGCAACTATCTGATCAAGCTTGGAAATCCATCGGAATTATTGTTGGGCATTTATCTTGAATCGGTCAAAGTATTTCTTTTCAAAATCGAATCAAACGCTCGACTTATAGTTGTTTTTTCCCCCATTTAATTTCAGCTTTGATTTCCCAATCCTCATCTCAGAGCTTAGCCATGCTGGAGAGCCTGTTCCGGTAAACATTTTGTGCGTAGACAGCATGAAGGGTTTCAGCGAACTCGATGCGAATGACAGCGGACAAAAAGCACCGTCTTATGCTTTATCTGAGCTGTATAAACGCATCTTCGGCCGCGATCCCATCGCAAGTCACACGGCCGAGGATGACTGCAAAACATTGCTCAGTGTCATCCAAACCTACGGCTTGTCATTTTGTCAGTGGTCTGATCAAAATGCCGTGCCTCTGGTAAATAAATCTAAAAAAAAGAATTAATTGGAGATGTCTTGTCACAGGTGTTGCATCCAGAATAGTGAAAATTATTCTCAATGATGTTTACATTACTTTTTCTATCCCAATCTATATTTTTAAGCATACATTTTTAATATGTAAGAAATAAGCCTCATTTTCACTGCTTTATATTTTGCTACATATTTTTACCTTGCTTCTAATGGCTAAATGGGGTGACATTGTGTTGGTGTTTTACTTAATAGGTACGTTTCTATTTAAATATTGACATTATGAAGCTGCACATTATAGTATAAAATAAAAATTGGATGAGATACCTTATGAAAATCAATAAAATGTTCTTTAATGGAACATTACAAAAAAAATAATTTTAATAAAATATTTATTTGATTTGTTGAATAGAAAAGAAATCCGAGTGATTTTAAAAGTAAGAGTTTTTATATTAAAAATAATGAGTTCTTTTAAAAATAATGAGTTCTTTTTCGTAACTACTTTCCTTTGGGCTGGAAATTTTTTTTAAAAAATGTAGTTAATAAAAATTCTTTACACAATTATTAAAATAAAAAAAAATTACGGTAAAATATATTTTTTATCCTGAATTTTTTAATTTTCTAACAATGGGAGCATGACATCTTGATTTCTGTACATGTAAGTGCTATCTATGTGAGAACACTATTTTGTTTTCTCAAATATATCATCTGTGTAGTAAAAAATTAAATCTTTAATCATTTAAAAAATATGTGCATTCACTTTTACAATATTGGACATCACATTTTCTTTTGCGTATCAATTTTCTTTATGTTGCTTATAAAGCACGGTATTGTTACATTTTTATTCATATCTCTTACATGAATATGTTGCTTCTGGTGTGGCTGATTCCTTTTCACAACCGACCCTCCCACTACTCAACATGTTTTATAACAATAGTACTCAGTTAACCAAAAAAAAAAAAAAAAAAAAAAAAAAAAAAAAAAAAAAAAAAACCCAAAAAAAATTTTTTTTTTTAAAAAATATAATATTTAAAAAAAAAAAA